TGCCGCCGCAGGTTTTCCCAGTCCAAAAGTGATTTCGTGCAATGGTGCACAATAAGTTGTTTGGACTGATGGTAAAAACTTTCTTTCCATGATTCTTTTCCTAGGTAAAATCTCACAAAACACTTGCTAAGCATAGCCTCGCAAGGGTCTTTACGGTTGGTTCGTTCATCGGGGTTGATCATATCTGAAATTAACTTGGGTCCTGATGGGCATACAGGGTGTCTAATATGCCACCATACCATTACAAACTGCAATAATATCCAAGCTGCAACATCCAGCTCACTTTTGTCAGCATATATTTAAGGAACGTTTTTAAGAAATTTTCACACAATAATGACAAGGAATTGGACTCAGAAATCATTTCAAAAGCACACCTGAAAGGTGTATGTTTTAGGAGATTTTATGGTGAACCTTTTGGAATCCTCTTCGACAAAAATTCATAAAGGTTATGCTTTTCTCTCATATTTCCGTTTAGAAGTGAGAAGCAGAAAAATAATTAGTTTCATTCGCTCTTGCCATTATGATCAAAGGCCTCACAATTGACGCTTTAGCAACAAATAAATGTTGCTACCTGGAGGGAGGTCTTTAGGGATCCCATCGGAGTCCAAAGGAAGTTTCGGAAATATTTTGGTGGTGAGCCTCATGACAAATGGATTAATATAGGCCTAGGGCACTTTGAGACACAATCAAGCTTCAGAAATACCTCCATTGTTGACAATGATATTCCAAATGATATGCTATCTTCCAGTTAATGATACCCCACATTTGTACCGACTGGTTAGTAGAAGTGACTTTTTGAAATGGTATCGGTACTCATGGGACACCAATTATGAGTGTTTAAATGAAGTAGTAGAGCACTCCCACTTCTTTCGGCTTTGGACAATGAAAGTGAATTTGGAAATATTAATTCTTGATATTTAGAATAGCAGAATATGCTAACAATATCTTGACATTGCCTCCCACTGTCCAACCAAGATTCAACCTCTGGATGAATCAGTGTTCGAGCTTCATCGGGCGTATCTGATAGCTGGATGAAACTCTTGTATCATGAGAAACCCGGGACGAAGAGATACCCTTTTCTGAAGGTTATAGTTTTCTTTTGAAGCGACGTATATGAATGGGGGCGTTCTGGAACACCAGAAATATTTAAAAAAATATGATCTGGTTTCGTAGAATATGTTTCGATACCTACCTTTAATTTGCTATTTGTTGTGAAGTTCTCCAATTTGAAATCAATACGTGTTAACAATTCTGAAAGCATGATCTTCCAAAGAATTACGTGACCTTTCAACATCATTTGAAATAGAAAATGACACCTAAAAACGTAGCCCCCTATAGGATCGTTCGAATACGTGAAGATGTTCATGGAGATGGCCAGAGACCCATCGATATCGAAATCACGGTCCGTATGCTCCACGCAGCACGGACACCCGACCTGTATGTCTTTTTAAACTGAGCGAAGGCCGTCCAGGTTGGCTTACGACTACCGAATGGCAACTATTAGTTTGAAATAATACATTTTAAAATTATGTTATGCAACGGAGAGAGAAATTCCAGCAATACAGTGGCACATTTAATCCTTTATCAACCTCTGACGGTTTTACACAAACGAACTCACCTGACTCAAGTAACATTTTTGGATCTATTTCAAGGAAACATTTCTTGCTTAGATTATGATCATCATGATAAACTTTGCCAATGCGAAGAATATGTTTTGCGTTTCTATGATGTGCACTCTCGGAGTCGCCAATTCACAGTAGGAAGATCTATGAGACAACTAAATCAAAATGATATTTTTCATGTTTAAATAATAAATTGTAAATAATCGTTCTTTTTGCCGTCACTGTTATGCTGAAGTTTTTCTTCATATGCCAAAAATCATTCCAAATGCCAAAACCTCTCAATGTATTTTATACTATTCAAAAACCAGAGTGCTTTTGGGTTCTAAGCCTTGTTTCCTCATCCATGTGAAGCCATATTCTTAGAGCTGCCACTATATTGTTCCTGCATCGATAGTTAAGGTAAGATTAAGTACTTTAACTCCGGTTCGCTCTTCTACGCGAAAGTGGAACGGTTGGTTACTTCTTTGTCTGGCATCTTTGCTTCCGAGAAAGGTCGGTTGCACTGTCCCACTGAAACCTCACTGAGGATAAGCTGCTGTATTTCCAAAATGAATCAACGTGATATAACTCTGCTTGCATGTCCTGCAGGAAAAAACTCACTATAAACTCATGTGGTCTTATGAGGTCTCACAACTTTCTCATGACATTTGCGAGCATCTCAAGAGGTAATCCTCGTGTTGCAATCTCCATGAGAGTCACAACGTCTCGTGATTTTTTCATGAGATTGGCCGAATATCTCATGACTGGCTGGTACCCGTGCAACATTCACGTCTTCGAATTAATGGTTAATGGTTTTCTGTATCTAAAAGTTTAAGTGATACACACGGCTGGAATTTCAACGACCATATTCCGAAAAAATAATATTGCCGTTCCCCCAGCCCCCTCCCTTAAACCAATCCCAGAATATGCCAAAATGCAGGCTTGATTCTATAACATTCAAATGAGACAATTTGTACGATTTCGAAACTTTCGTGTACCAGATGGAGGAAAGATTCTTCCCATCCTCTTAGATCTCAAATTTCCCGTTTCAGTTCCCGATTTTAATCTCTATTGGACTGACCCGACCCGCGGATCGGGCCAGCAGCTCGGTCCGGAATCGAGTTTCCTGTTAGGTGCAGGCGAATTCGCGATCAGAATAATTTTTTTCCACTAAAAGTCACCTCGTTCCGTCTGCGCTCGACGTCACCCTCGGGCAAGCAGCTGGACGATGAGAACACAACAAGGCAACACGAACGTGACACCATGGGAAAACTGGATACGTCAGCAGCGCCGCTTAGAAAGAGGACGAATCCAAACACCCCGAGTTCTAAACTCAGAAGCCTAAGCGGGCTGTCTGTTGGTAGGATCGGCCTGACACAACCCGCGGAAGGGAGTGGGGTGGGGGGGGGGAAGATTCGTAAAACATGGTCCGGCGATCGGATTTTGGGTCCTGTTGAACCACGATTCGAATCGGACCAATCGGATCAGTTTGGAAAAAGTTCACCAGCACAAGCCTCAGGCGGACAGACAGGAAGACGTAACTTGTGAAATATTGAAGTCTGATTGTGGCTCATGGAATTCAGTCGAATAGCATTCAAATGAGACATTTCGCAAGATTTTTTCCATCGCCAAATTTGGGGTCATTAATAAAGAGATGGAGTGCGTGAGCTTCTTCCATCATCAGAGGCCCCAAATTGACTTTGAGCCCCAAAAGAAACCCCAATCCCGGTGCCTATAAAGAAAGTATTTAGCGATTTCCCCCCGACGGATTGAAACTCGTCTCACTCGAATGCGCGGGGATGATTTCGAGCACCGTGGGGAATGGGGATCAGCTCTTACCAGGCAGACCTGACCGGCGGATCGGTTAGCAATCGTGTTTCATGTTCGGTGCAGGCGAATACCTAAGAATAAACACAGAGGAGTTTCTTTTTCGAGCCGTTTTCAGCCGCTGGCAATAAAGACGCCTCGTTCTGTCAGTTCTCGATGCGATCACGTCGCTAAATAACGTCACTCTCTGGCAATGAACTACCAGTGGAACGTAGTGAACTATGAGAGCACCGAACAGGCCAACACCAATGTGACGTCGTGGGATGTCAAGTGGAAACTTCAGCAGGGCCGATAGAGCCGCTCAGGAAAAGGTCGAACCCAGAGACCCCCAGAGTTCCAAAGTTTAGAGGCCCAAGCTGACTGAGGTGATCGGCCCGACCAGAAGTGTAGGATCCACTAAAACCTCAGTTCGGCGATCATATTTCGGGTCAGGTAGTCGGATACACGACTCCAATCGGGCCGATCGGGTCGGATTCGGATGAGTTGACCAGTGCAGGCCTCCGGCGGACAGACAGGAGTACGTCGGCTATTATTATATAGATGAAATCCTGATTATATAATCATTCTCAAGGTCTTACGACCTAATCATGAGGATTGTGTGATTCCTCATGAGGCTACGAAACGCTCTCATTAGGTTTGAGGTCTCATAAGACCTCAGGACACCTCATAAGACGTCTGTTCGAAAACCTCATGATGATCTCATGAAGTTTTTTTCTGCAGTGCTTAATCCATCCATGATGGCAACGATATACAGACGCTCTGAAGAATATCCCCTGAACTCACTATAGCAGTGGTCAGCAACTATATTTCATGGTGGGTCAGATAGCAGGAAGCTTCACCGTTCGTGGGCCGACACTTATCACGTATCCTTATAATGAAAATGTTAATTGACTCCTCCTTATGACCCCCCACCCCTCCTCCTCCGATTACGAAGTGACGTAATGCCAAACGTCCAGCCGCACGTCTACTGTCCGACCGTAATTGCTCTTTCGATCTATTAGTTCACTACGCGCCGTGTTAATATCTTGGGGAAGAAGTCCTCCGCTTCGTATTGGGCGGCCTGATGGGAGCAGATTTTATGTCCTTGGCTGTCGACGATTCAACAGGTAACACTGCCATCGACCAACTCTGTGCGCACGTGAGGTACTTCGACGGGAGGTTTTCTGAGAGGAGCTTCTGGGATTGATACCTTTATAAAACGACGTCGCCGGTGATGTCATTTTCGAACTGATCAGCCATTTGGTCTCCCAATATGGACTCTCATTTAACAAAATATGTCTCCTGGTGAGAGACGGTGCACCTTCCATGAAAGCTGAAAGAAGCAATTTAAACGGTCATGAAGATATCGATAGCATCAGAGCGACGTCAGGCCTTCAACACCGACTGTTCCATGTGCTAGTTTCAGAAACGTCTGAGACCCATGAAGATCTGCTCCTACACAACGACGTAAGCTGGTTGAGCAAGGGATCATGACTAGAACGATTCTTAAATCTCAAGACCCAAGCATGTGATTTTCTGCGCTCTCACAGAAAGTCGGTTGAATATATTTCCTTTCTGGAAGGTAATGACTTCATGGCGAAGGTTGCGTTCTTGCGTGACATTTTCGGTCACTTGAATACTCTCAATCTAGAAGGCCGTGACAAAACCACCAGCGACGTAGTCGAGAAGTTGGAAGCCCTTGAGAAGAAACTGAGCATCTTCCTTGCTGACCTCAAATCCGAAAAGCTTTTGCACTTCAAGCATCAAGAAGAGCTGGACGAGAATTACGGAGTTACTAACCTCATGACAGACTTCATTGTGCAGCTGAATGAAAACTTCAGTTCCCGGCTCAGTGACTTCAGCATCCCTGAGGACGTCATCGGTTTTGTGCGTGATCCATTTTCAATCGACGCTGAATGCGATTTTGCATCTCATGCTAAAGCAGTACTCGCTTCAATCGATGAGGCGGCACTGTAAATAGAGCTAGAACATCTCCAAGCATCAGTGGTGTTGAGGACCAAATTCAAAGAAGCAAATAATGAGGCGTTTTGAACCATCTACGTCAATAGAGAACTCCGAAAACTTTATGAGAATCTCGTGAGACCTCCTTTTGCGATTCTCGCGAGGTATTCTTCGCAGGGTGTGTTCATTTAGCGTGGGAGTCAGTAGTTAAAATAAAAACGGCGTTTAAAAACCAAAAAGTGACCAGTGATTATTGACCTTAGTCGAGTCAGCTCTCAAGGGCGCAAAGCGTTAGTGGAAACCTATTGCGATTCGCAACAAATCGAAAAATGTTCCAACATTTTTGGGGAAAGTGCACTGGGTGCCAATAAACATTTTGCAAGGGGTCTGAAGCCAGAAGTTCTCAACCAACCTCAGTGTTCTTAGTATCATTTTACTTCATAATCATTGTAGTCATAATAAGGAAAAACGAGTAGTGGACCGTATCCGCGCGGATGCGTTTCGTGAGACAATGGACAGTCCCGCCGACTTCATTACCAAAAAGTGGATCGCTTCAAGGCTTGGGAGAACCTGACACTGATTTCCATAATCCTTTCATGCGCATATGAGCCACTGCTCGGTTTTCCTCACTATCACCAAGAACGCCGACAATGATCTTTCCCCTATAGTCACCTAAGAAGCAATAATAAACAAGGTTTAGAATTTCGCTAAAACGNTGTGCTAGTTTCAGAAACGTCTGAGACCCATGAAGATCTGCTCCTACACAACGACGTAAGCTGGTTGAGCAAGGGATCATGACTAGAACGATTCTTAAATCTCAAGACCCAAGCATGTGATTTTCTGCGCTCTCACAGAAAGTCGGTTGAATATATTTCCTTTCTGGAAGGTAATGACTTCATGGCGAAGGTTGCGTTCTTGCGTGACATTTTCGGTCACTTGAATACTCTCAATCTAGAAGGCCGTGACAAAACCACCAGCGACGTAGTCGAGAAGTTGGAAGCCCTTGAGAAGAAACTGAGCATCTTCCTTGCTGACCTCAAATCCGAAAAGCTTTTGCACTTCAAGCATCAAGAAGAGCTGGACGAGAATTACGGAGTTACTAACCTCATGACAGACTTGATTGTGCAGCTGAAAGAAAACTTCAGTTCCCGGCTCAGTGACTTCAGCATCCCTGAGGACGTCATCGGTTTTGTGCGTGATCCATTTTCAATCGACGCTGAATGCGATTTTGCGTCTCATGCTAAACCAGTACTCGCTTCAATCGATGAGGCGGCACTGTAAATAGAGCTAGAACATCTCCAAGCATTAGTGATGTTGAGGACCAAATTCAAAGAAGCAAATAATGAGGAGTTTTGGACCATCTACGTCAATAGAGAACTCTGAAAACTTTATGAGAATCTCGTGAGACCTCCTTTTGCGATTCTTGCGAGGTATTCTCCGCAGGGTGTGTTCATTTAACGTGGGAGTCAGTAGTTAAAATAAAAACGGCGTTTAAAAACCAAAAAGTGACCAGTGATTATTGACCTTAGTCGAGTCAGCCCTCAAGGGCGCAAAACGTTAGTGGAAACCTATTGCGATTCGCAACAAATCGAAAAATGTTCCAACATTTTTGGGGAAAGTGCACTGGGTGCCAATAAACATTTTGCAAGGGGTCTGAAGCCAGAAGTTCTCAACCAACCTCAGTGTTCTTAATATCATTTTACTTCATAATCATTGTAGTCAAAATAAGGAAAAACGAGTAGTGGACCGTATCTGCGCGGATGCGTTTCGTGCGACAATGGATAGTCCCGCCGACTTCATTACCAAAAAGTGGATCGATTCAAGGCTTGGGAGAACCTGACACTGATTTCCATAATCCTTTCATGCGCATATGAGCCACTGCTCGGTTTTCCTCACTATCACCAAGAACGCCGACAATGATCTTTCCCCTATAGTCACCTAAGAAGCAATAATAAACAAGCTTTAGAATTACGCTAAAACGATTGAGGTCGGTTCCGTACTTTCGGCTACGGATCCCTAGCAAAAAGTTATTTCATACTCTGTACATTGTGAATCGCTAATTTGCATCTGGGATTGAAACACGGTACTGGAATCATTTATGTTCGGCAGATAAAGGTACAGAGACAATCAAATTGGCCCAACTCCATAACATCGTGGTTTAAGGAAATTCCATCAGAAAGTTACAAGGAAACTTTTCCATTAGTTTTTTATGGCTTTCAGGCGACAACTGCAAACTATCAAGTTCGTGGAATGCTCGAAAGGAGCTTTTGAGGGTTCTAATTAGTTCATCGCATGACGTTTTTTATTTGCATACCAGGTCTTGGACCGAATACCAAGGTTCAACTGACCAACAACGAAATCGTCGTTTTGTCTGAGGAGAGCTTCCGCCCGATGTTGGACATCCTCTCAACAGGAGATGGAGTCCTCTATCTAGACGGTGAGTTTCGCGGTTTTTTACCATTGCGGATTATGTTGGGTTTCTTCCTCGCTTTGTTCATCTGCGTAATTGCACTTTGTGTCCTGTTTCTATTCCAGGCAATCCTATCCGATGCGATTGTGAAGTAGCATGGCTGGTTCAAAATGAGAAATATCTGAAGAGCATTTCTGGGGAGTGCCAAAATGGAACCAAATTCAAGGATTTAAATGCATTAATTATGAAAGACTGTGATGGTCAATCGAGCTCATCAACACCCACAAATCAAGGTGATGTCTCCAGTTGCTCGCATTCTTTCACTATATGGTGCCTGTAATGGTATCCCAACGTTTTGTTCTATGCCACGCCAGGGATGAAAAGGAATGGTCGGACTTTTTAGCATTTTTTTGTGGCATTTTTTGGAGAGTAAAGAGTTAAAGCTGAAGTGTGATTCTGAGATATGGGAGAGTGTCTACTCTCCCTTCAAATTTGCCGGCTTTGAAAAGAACGGAAGAGAAAACCTTTCCTTGGAATTCCTCTTATTATAAAGGAATGGAGATTAGGTAGCTGCGGGGAATATGGTCATGGGGCGAATGTCATATATATTTGCTTCATTTACCACTAAAGCATATCAAGCATGTAATTACTTTGCAATTTTGCTCTTTAAATGGTGTTTACTACATCAAAAGAGAATTTGGCTCCAAGATACCCCGTACTCTAGATACCCTAGTACAATATACATTGGAAAAGGTTACTTCTTCCATTTAATTTGATATTCGTGGTATGTTTGTTGTCTTGGACTGGCCTTGCTACTTTCATGAAAGAAGCTACACGACCTGATGCCGTCTTCCTGGTCGGTCAAGCGAAGTAGAATTCAAAGAGTAGTCCGTTTTCGAGTTTCATGGATGTCTATGGGCGATTTCAAATCAGTCAGCAGAGTTTTTTCCTCGACCCACTTCGATGTTAATGTGATTTCGGCATGCTGATAGTACCCAAGGAGAAAAGAAACTAAAGCAGCTTTCTGTTCCATACATTTTGTATTGTGAAAATTAGAGCCAATGAAAAATTTAGCGATTTTGGGCCACTTTGATCCAGGAGTCACAACAATTGTCAATAATAAGTACGTTATTAATGAAGGCAAAAACGTGAATATGATGTTGGTGGATATATTATAATACTCTCTATGAGATGATTTGTAACACACGGTGGTAAATGCGATGTCCTTGGCCTACCTCCAGCATGAAATGAATGAAAAATCATGCAGATTCAATTCATCGGAACACCAGGCAATATCACACACTTTTTACGAGTCGAATTTGCTAGATGCATTCATTGTAGCTACGGTCAGAAACAGCTACTCTACTATCGTTTTCCTACAGCAGGCGGAATGATCGGATGCGGACGACTCAGCAGCATTAAACATGGATCCTTCACTATCGAATCTTGTGCCAGTCCATCGGAAGACACTGCCGAAAGAAACAATGAAAATTGCATTCAAAATGGAAACTATGCAGTTTGGAGCATCGTTAGATACAGATGCGATAAATATTATGAACTGCAGGGACCGGAATTCAGAAGATGTAAGGAAGATGGAGAATGGACCGGACCCACCCCGTTTTGTAAGCCAGGTCGGTTTCTTTTGTCACCACATTTCTTGTTTATCAGACACATCACTGCTATTTCGAATGCCTGTGATTTATACCGTCCTATACGCAGTATGCGGGAAGAAGGAAAGTCAAATTCAACTATCAGCAGGAGGAAACCCATCTAGAATCGGAGAATGGCCATGGCAAGCGGCCATTTATGACCTCACGAAGGGAGATGTTATTTGTGGAGGGGCTCTTATTAGGGAAGAATGGGTGCTAACAGCGGCCCATTGTGCCGTTGTATCAAGTTCCATCCGAACTCGAAATGTTACTGAAATTTTGGTCCACCTAGGGAAACACAATCGACACGATGTCAGTGACAAGTACATGCAGATCCAACAGGTTCAGTGATCCTCACGTTCTTGTACTTATATCGACTCTATTCCTCGTGATGAAAACTGACACCATCTCCTTGCAGGTGTCCCATATAATCTTGCACAAGGACTTCAACCTATATAATAACTATGACTCGGATATTGCTTTATTGAAATTAGCAAGACCTGCCGTGCTGACTGCGCGAGTTCAGTTGGTATGTCTCCGTATCCGATTTGATTTATCTGAGGTCAACCTCGATAGCGGAGTGAAAGGATGGGTGAGACACGAAACATATAAATACCTTTACCTAAAACTTTCCTTTAGCGTTCTCATTGCATCCTTTCTTCTTCGATTGTTTGACGATGCAGGTGGCTGGTTGGGGTACTGACGATTCAGATAAACTCATAACTGTCCTGACGGAGATTCAACTCCCGGTGATATCCAATCGCAATTGTTCTCTGGAAACCCGTAATTTCAAGGGAGACCAGGGCGTCACTCGTACCCTCACCTCAAATATGTTCTGCGCTGGTTTTTCTGTGGATACTCCTCTCAAAGGTATGGCCTCAAGATATGTGTGTTAAATTCGCATGAATGCATTCTGAGATTGTCAATTGAGCTCCTCCCAATTCCACATGCAAGCCATGTGCTTTGTAAATACCCTTGCATGTTAGTGGACACGCGTGTGGAACTTATGCTCGCGTGCATTCGCCTACTTGCCCCACCATTGAAGCTAAGGATGCATGACATGGTAGTGGGAATCGCCGCAACCCAGTCAAACATTTATATTCGAGTCATCGATGGTTTTCGTCGACGCGTACATAAGCCATCACTGGTATATGGTTTGCTCATGGTGGTTTAAACTGTTTTATACTCGGGCACGCCCTGTTGGCTCTTCATTTGGCCAATTTTGGCTCATTGTACACGCCCCAATCCTCGACCGACTTGTAGGCGGCTCCGACGTGATTTAACGTTAATGATTATCACGATATCAGATCGCCAGCGTGTTCCAGGTTCATGACTCCGTAGACTCCTTACATATACAATTACTTTATTGTGGCAACCAGCTTGGAAAGAGGTTAATAATACGAAGAACAACAAAATGGTTATGGGATACAAACTCAAAATTCTGTTCCCTTAAATTGTTATCAGGCAATAGATACTCAACGAACAATACCTGAATATGGACCAGAGTGGGGATGGGTGGGGCGACAGACAGCATACGATCTCCAGCACTAACGTCAAGGGTCCACTCAATATCCCGCGTTTTCTCTCAGGTTTCTCCTCACTATCCTCCAATTCAACTCCTCGTCCGACTCACTCACTTGACACACCCGGACCCCGCGACTCTCCCACGCGACCCTTTTATTCCGTTATGCCGGACATGCGCATTATCTTTTACGGTGATTTCATCATCTTTATAAGAGTACCTTTTCAAAATGGTGGATAGGTATGGAGAAAAAACTGACCGCAAAGTGCATCTACTGAATTATGATTCTTGTAGAGGATGCCTCTTTTGACCCTTTACTGCTCCTTCAACTGCTAGAGATTAATGAGCAGAACCTTACCAGAGTACCTTACACAGGTACACTCCTGTCGCCAAGTACATCCCAAGCATCACCCATTTAGGATAATACGGCATCCAGGAGCGGAATCACATAGGAATGCAAGGGCGTCCATGATCTCACATGAGATCATATATATATATATATTACACGTAATAGGACCTTATAATGTCGGTATCCGGGGAAAATATCCATACAATCGCGAAGCCTATCGTGGAAAGTAGAAGGATCCACCAACGGACTTCCGGACTGGAATTTCCTGGTTTATTACAGGGCTATGTTTCATCTTCAGAGAAGTGTTTCAAGGAATACAATTGTCTTCCTCAGAGATGTATATAAGGATCCATAGGGAACCGTGTCAGAGGGAGAAAGAACTCATTCCATTAGAAACTGGGAAGTGACTCCCCACTAAGACTACTTTGAATCCATCTCACGCTGGTTTTCGGAACCTTCTCAGCAACAGATGGGCTCATCTTCGACGAATGATTGGCCGATCAACTAACAAGTGACTCACAGTAGTATTTAAAAAAAAGTAAGTTTCATAGGAGGCACACTGGATGATAACGCCAGTGGTCGTGGCGTCCGTGCGATCCCATGATAAGGCTTCAGGTTCTATCCTACTCAGATAGGATCCCGCCCCTTTCACCCTCTAGAGTTCTTCTTTGCGCGGAGGAAAATGGGACCCTAAGTGTTGTACGTCGATTTTCCCGCGTTAAAGTTCTTATCCCTGTGTGAACATTGAAAAGGTGCGCAGGGCGTAAAATGTCTCCCTCTCCCATTTTTAAGAACGGATCCGACAGTTGCAAAAGCCGGAGAGAACGTGCGAGCCGGAGAGCGTTAGGAGCACCTTAACTCGCGGAACTGCTTCTTGGGAAATCCCGAGTTCAGTCGGGAGCCCAACAACTCAGCGTTCCTCTCACCGATATAAGCAGCAGTCGCTCTTTCCCGTTCTTGAGAATGACCTGCGGAAGATATCCACGAACTTCGGGTCGGTCTAGGCCAAGAGTGTCAATTACGGGCGCGCTAGTTGATTTCGTCCGACCGGCAAAGTTCTCCTAAACCGTTGCTTTTGGAAAAGCATAGACTTTTTCAAACCGTTAGCTATTGAAACTTTGGTGTAAGATTTGCTAATGTGGACCCAATCACTCCTGAAGGGTTCAAACCGGCCGCTAGCTTACTCTAGTTTGACATCTCTGGCCCAGGCTAAGTAACTGTCAGCGCCGCCGGAAGGAATCGTGAGGCCTGGGGCAATAATCACGTAATAGCCACCTTTCCACTCTCACCCCCCCCCCCTCCCCTCGGCTTTTAACACTATGAATTCTTAATTGCCAACAAACGCTATGCTTCTGAACAATAGTACATGATCCTGTGTGATCCCCCCCCTCTCCCCAGTCAAGGAACATGGGACAAATTGCCCCTTTTGCCCCCCCCCATCTCTACGGTCCTGAGCATAGTCAGGAATCCACGACTTCAGCCAGTGGCCCCTTGAACACTCTACGCTGCAGTCGTTCTCCCCCCCGTTCTCGAGGGCATATCCGACGGTTGCGAAGGCTCGAAAGAAACTGCTCGCTCGAGAGCGAGACAGAGACCCCAACCCGTGGAAGACATCCACGAACTCCGGGGCGTCGGCCCAGATATTTCCGATCCAAGGGTGAGCGCTCCTGTTTTGTACAGGTGGGATCTCGCCGTTTTCACCCTAGGAAGTAGAGACAATATCAATATGAGAATGGGTTCCGATCGATAAAGGGACCGAGATCCCGATAAATATAAGGACGGAGACCTCAACCCCGGTGAGGAAGTCATTCTTCCTCCAGCGAGATGAAAGGGGACTCCCAAGTGTTATGCGCGGGGTCGTTTCACACGTTCCTGCTGAAAAGTCCGTCGGAGGTGTGAACACCCCCTTACTTAGGAAGGAAGGGGAGAGGATGCGTAGAATGCCTCTCTCTCCCATTGTAGTGTTAGGGATGGCATATAGAAATTTGACTGATTGTCTTTGTTTCTGTGGTGCAATTGTAGCACATTTAACAGGTAATCTAGAGACCCTTGGTTCTATCCCCGTCCGCTCTATGGTGTTTTTTAGTTCTCTTACGCCATCCAACTATACCCCCTATTAGCCCTTATCCAGGCAAGGGGGGTTCGTTGGACCCCCCGAGGGTATATTTGATTTCATTTTTCTCCGCAATTCTTTCAAAATATTCCTCAAATTTGATATGGGTTTCATAGACATTCACCCATGGATTCAAAACAGAATTTTTAAAGTTTGGATTTGCTTTTAATAAAAAAATTCTAAAGATGTTTGGCCTTGCTCGTTTTTGTCACAAAAATACCTTGCCCGGATAAGGGTTAGGGTGAACACCCCAGTTTTGGCATCGCTGATACGACTCCCATAGGAAGTGGACACCCTGTGCGCACACCGGGAAGCACTAGTAATAGGTCCTCGTACGGAAAGATGTTGATAGAATGCTTTAAAAAAGGTCAGATTATTTACAGATTATTATTGACTAATTGCAATGAATGTTGTTGGCCTAACTGGCCAACAACTGGAGACCGGCCAGAAACCTGGGTGCTTACCCTACATGGAAAAGATCCGAAAGTCGCAACGGCAGGAGAGAAAGTGCGAGCCCGAGGGCGGGAGATGTAACTGTTTATTGGCTTTTAAGGAAAATTCTCGAGAGACCCTTCCCCATATAATTGAAAGTATCCATTAGCATAGAAAATTAAAAGAAATCTCTGATAATCATGGATTCATTCTAAATTGACGCAAAACGAGTCAAGTCCGGTCTCTCAGAGTTTATTCCTGTAAAGAATCGCGCACGGGAGGCCTGGACCTGGTGGCCTCCTCTGGCATAGACAATGCATTGGCGTATCCCGTAGCGCTAGCTATACAATAGTATACGGGAGAAAGAAGGTTGGTTGCACCGTTTGCATTGTGCATGAGCAAGTGCCAGTCAGCTAGAGTGAGCATGTCTTTAAGGTTCCTTTGCCTCAAGTATAGACTTTTTTCGGTCATCCGAATTGGCATAGCCTATTTATAGGCTATGCCAATTTGCTATGAATGAAAACGAAAACAATATATATTATGAATAATTATGATATTCACTAGGTGTGTAAGTAGTGATTTTGTTGGGAAGTTGCGAAACTCGCGGGGGGAGGAAGTCGTCAGACCACTACCATTCTCATAGGGCTGGATGCACCTCTACTTTCACTCAAGTGTTCAATGGATTTCCACTTAGCGTTCTTGCGTGATTTCTATACTTTAAAAACTGTTAGCATGAAACGGTTCCTCGCTATGCGACTGACCTATGCACGTCTTTCCTGCTTCATGCTACATTAATATTAGTTAGTTTTTGTTCATTTTTAAGATGACAATCTGACTACAACCATAGGTTTTTCGTCCACGAGCCGCCACTGGATCGATTGCATAGATATCCCTTGAAAGACAGACTTGGAAAAGTCTGACTTGAGCTACAGTCGCACTGTCTCTGGCTAATCCTAGTCTAACTTTCTCGCTGAGGATAGTAGGAATTCACGTTTTGCAAATTTGATTTTCAGCGAATGCGAAGCGTTTCCAGTTTTTTATGTTGCTAAAGTCGACTTCATTTTTCCGAATAAAATAAATTTCATGGAGTCTGAGCTGCATCTCACGGACATCGTCCGAAAAGGAAAATGAGTTAACTTTTCAAAGCGCAACACAGCTTCAAGCCAAAAAAAGGAAGAGCGCTTAATATATTGTGGCGGAAGAGGGAAAGTGGGTCTAATTCTCATGGATGTTTCAATATTTTGCTGTACCTTCATGATGTAATTCTAATAATACCTCTTACTTATTGTCAGGCATTTAGTTGCTTTAACCATCAAGGGTGCTGCTTAGGAGAAGCAAATAACGCTATAAAAGCTGTTAAGAAAATACATATTTAGAAGTTTTTCATTTTACTGATATGTTTCACGAAAATAATGTTCGAGGTATGCTGTTTACCTAAAAGAGAAAGGTGTGCTCAATCTAGAAATGGGGAGAGAATTTGCTAATACACAAACGCCTAAATTAAATGCATAGCGTAATTCGAATAAGTCTGAATATATTGGGTTGGAAAGAAATTCTTGCAACACTCTGCGCAAATTTTTCACAATTTTATAACTTTATTGAAATGCAATTTCAGTATTCAATGTAATAACCATTGTTGTCATCATCAGACCCTTCGGCTTCACCTACACTATTTATCTGAGAGCTTTATCTAAAATATATTGGGTTGGAAAGAAAGTCTTTCTGTGCGGACGAAGGAGCAGTGATTCGCAGACACTGACACTGCTTGCTTTGTCAGAGTCGCCGAGCCGATAAGGGACCCATGTCGAGTAAACCTTCGATATCCGAAGTCGTTTAGATAGTTGCCAACGGACATATGGGTGACTCCAAGTGTATTCGCCGATTCGCGAGTGGTGGCGTTCGGCTTCGCGTCGAGGGCGTTCCGCAGGGCTTCGTCATCGACTGCAGATGGACGTTCCTGAGCGTGGTCGATCTCCGAAGGTCGTGTCGCCAGATTCCAAGCGTTTCGACCATCGAGACTCCGTGGAATAGTGGACGACGTTGCCCTTGGATGCAGCGCAGATGTTGTCCGCGGCGGCTGTCGCAGAGTGTCCTCGGAGGAACTCGTAGCGGACGATGGGGCGAAGAGTTGCTTCTTCGATCGGAGCCATGGCTGCCAACTGATGGCAGAAGCCGCCTCATATACCCCGAGGGCAGAAGCTTCGAGAACATTCATGCATATACAAATGCATGTCCCGCCCATCATTCCTTTGAAAACTTTTAGAAATCGTTTTAGAATGTGTTGCAAGACTTTCTTTCCAACCCAATATATTTTAGATAAAGCTCTCAGATAAATAGTGTAGGTGAAGCCGAAGGGTCTGATGATGACAGCAAAAAAAGGAAGTATATTGAACAAGATGTACCACTATATTTCTTAAAGAAAAAGAAGCCTCGAACAAGGGAAAGGGAAGGGCAACCATTCCCGGAACAGAAAATCTTGAAAGCAGTTATGAATGTCAATGGAGAGTACATAGGTAAACCAACACATCAGTCACTTTGGAAATTTCTCCTCTGTCAAGTTATAATATTTAAAATCAATAAGCTGTTCCGAGGGATGAAACCTTCCCGGAATACCCTTCTTGAAGTTGCTACCTCTCTCACAAGTCGGGCATCATGAACCATCGCCACAGCTTCTCGCCAAAGCCAGATAATTGGCGTTTCAAGTCAGACTTAGTTCAGTTAAGACATCCCGAAGGTGGTTTGAGATTAGTCGGGGTCAGTGCAACCGGCTAATATTTTAGACAGGCTTCCAAAGTCAGACTTGGCATGAAAGTCTGGCTTAACTGAAGCAATGCAACCGGCCCGTAAATTGAGAGGTAGGCAGAAGGCGCCCCACAAGTGCACATGGATGCGGACACACACAGGGGCCCAAGCATCTATGCCTAGGTACAGTATATACTGTATAGGGTGGGCTAAAAAAAAGTTCCAAACATTTCAATCTGCTGTCACACTTGTGCTAATTATGATAGGTGCTTGCATTGTATGTCATTCTCGAAAATGGCTAAACTAGAGTCAAACCCTCTTTCATTTGTGAAAATATGTTCATAAGTTTTTGCAGTGACGATACTGCGAGAAGTGAAAAATCGCCGCTGCCGCAAACCGGGGAGATGACATGGCGGCCAGCTCTTTCGAATCTCCAGGTTTCCCGACATGGTTTTTCTTCTTCCTACGTTCTGGCTCAGTGTGGTACGTGATGTCGAACGTGCCTGATTGTGAGGTCGCATATCCTTTTTAAATGAAAAGGTATAACTGCATCAATGGGCAAGTTGAGTGCGGACGACAAGATGTTTATCAAAGTCCTGCATCAGGAGAAAAGGTAATGGTGCCAGAAAGATTGTGAAAGAATATCCAAATCGCGAGTGGAACGTGAAAACAGTGAGCAAGTTGCTGAAAATTTTGCGAGAAAGTGGTGCCATGAGGCGTAAATCACGCAATGTGTTCAGTCCGTGGCATTAAACAAAAACCATAACAGAAAAGCTAGATATTCGAAAAAGCCGGCCGCCACATAATCTCCCCGGTTTGCGCAGCGGCGATTTTTCACTTATCGCGCAAAATCTTCAAAGTGCAAGACCTTCAGAATATAAAAAGTGGATCTTTCTTTCTTTCAAAAGGAAGAGGATTTGATTCTAGTTTAGCCATATTAAACAATGCCATACATTCCAAACACCTAACCAAGCACAAGTGTGTCATCAGATTAAAAAGTATGGAACTTTTTTTGTCCACCCTGTATATATAGACAATCGTGACTGAGTGACTGACGCTGAGTCTAGCCATGTTCTGGAGATGTTATAAATCTGACATCTGGTACACAAGTAGATATTGACGTGTGGGTTCAGAAAAAATCCGACTCTGTAGGTATAGGCAGTCGGGCGTATTTATTCAGGGGACGTTTTCAAAGAATTTCGTATGCCTCAGCCAAACGGAAAGACGCAAGAAGATGAAAATTGACACGAGAGTGTAAATTTTCCTATTAAAGTGCTGATTTCCAGAAAAATGTAAATTTTCAGATATATGCCAAGGGGTCCTTTTTTACATAATAGTCAATCAAACAGACTATTACATAATGCTGGGATAAATGAATTCCAGGAAAGTCTTAATTTCGTCATACATGCTCCCATATACATATAATTTGGTGGTTAAAAGTTCTCAGAATTTTTCGCCGCCATCCCAGAGGTATTTTTATGGGGAGGGGGGAGAATGAGCAAGCTTGCACAATTTCGTTCAGAGAAAGCAGATTCTTCCGGTCTTGGCTCTGTATTGGGAATAAACTCTAAGGTGACAATTCTGAAAAAATGAAGAATCTCTGCTTGATTCATGTTCTTAACATCAGGTTGGAAATCACTTCACACAAGGAGGAGTAGCTTAAACCCGCAATAAAAATTATAATGATCCAAGGAGTATTTTTCCCAATTTGCACTCATGAGAATCGAAAAGGGATGCTTCAATGGTAAGAATAATTATAATCTTTTATGGAGTCCATAGCACCGAAGGCGCGCTCATAGCGAGTTTGCTTGCCCGAAGGGCAAACTAATTCGCTAGTATTACATACATAGATACTTCCTAATAATTTATTTTGATAACAAATGATGAGAATAGCAATAATCAAGATGATTCTTACTGCACAGATTTTCGAACAGTGTGTCCTGGGGACTCTGGGAGTCCCATGGTCTTCCTCTCCAATACATCACTAGACAGCCACTGGACAATGGAAGGGATCGTGAGCCACTTCTTACAGAAAGGTTCTTGCTCGATGAGGCGCCCTGGCCAGTATGGCATTTTCACCAGAGTTAATAGGTGAGATCAGGTCAATCCAACCCAATTATATAATATGCATCCCTTTCCTCCTATTTCATTAAAAAATGTCGGGTTTCTCGTTCTTCCCTTTAGGTTCATCCAGTGGATCAACCAGGTAATACATAGAGGCTTCTGACAAATCATAATTGATTCAACAATATGCAAAAATTTCCCCAACTGAAAGTGAAATAAATTTGTTATTTGTCTATTTGTCTGCATTTTTTCCAATTTACACACATACACATGAACGCAAATTTTTCTTGCATCCACGCATACACATATGCATGCCTTCAATCAGACCAAGCATCTCAGTCATGAGACTCGTTAAACCAATTGGTTTGCTGACTGTGGTACTTGCAGACTGACTCAAGATGGGATTGCTTCCGCCTTGATATTGCCTTATCTTTTGATTCCAAGAACTTCGGGAAGTAACACGGCGACATACCAACGTCGATTTCATGGATGTTTGGTAGATACAGAGTTAGAAATATACCTGTAGCACCTAACAGCTTAAACGACTGCTTATAGAGTTCGTTACCTCGGACTTGCGGCCTATCGTGCCTCTGGCTGCAGCTTGATTTTTCCATGATTGGCTCTTTCCCTGTCCTTTTCCTTGTTTTAACTTCCATAAGTTTTTCCCCCTTCTGCAAGCTGCTGGGTGATGCGATAAACCGTTCCGAGATTTTGCATTTATTCCTCACATTCTTTACATAGTTCGAGCGCTTTTGAGTTTCTTGTTATATACCCTAACTAACGTCAGGGAAAACAGGATGAAGGCAGATCAAGCGAGCCACATTCCTTCTATGCTTGGCCGAACGAGCGAGAAAGTCAGTCTAATTCGGGGAATAATATATCAGTTGGACAAGAATAAAATCGTGGCCGAACGCCACGGCTTTTTCCTACCCAACTGACTCGCCATTTTCCAAAACAGATTGAGTTTTTCACTCTGGCCTTTGACCGAACTGGAGGAGGAAAAAAAGTGAGATATATCGTATAGAAAAAGTGAGGTATCATCGCGCTGGGACGGGCAGTCCCAGCGAGATGAACGGCCTCACCAGCAGAACTAAGACAAAACCAAAAGGACGTAAGAAAGCCTGACTTGAGTACATTGCACATGCCTGGGAAGGTCATAGCACAACTACCTGACGCAATGGCGGATGGCCACAGCTGATCCTCATTGCTCTATCTCCACGTGACTCCCAATTTCCTAGGCCCGGGAGATAAGGGAACACGTGGGCCGTAGAATGTTCAAGTCCGTTTCAGTCAGAATGGCTTTCATGTTACACTTACCTTGTCGCATTCAAGGCATATTAATTAGACGTTCTGTCGATGCCCGTTTATGTATTTAACGCGGAACAAGGGTCAAGTTCTAGTTGGATTTCATGAATTAGCATGCGGATAAATATATGATCTTTTTATCTTTTTATTGAGAATCATTTTATCTTTTGAGAATCAATAACTATTTATCTCTTTATAATATCGCGATCTGGTTTGGTTTGCAGTTAGCTCACACGACAAAGTTGCCGACAATATTAAGGATCTTTCATAACTAACGTCCAGTTATTTCAAAAATGGAAAAAGAAAAAGAATTGTCGGAGAAAACTAACTTGCTCGGATAATTTTGGGAGTGGGTAGTACACGCATTCAAATAATGTCAAAATTCAATACAGGGTGTACCAAAATAAATCATTGTTCTTATTTATTTAACTTGACCAGGTACAAGTATAAAATAACATCGTGCATTCAAAGGAACACAGTAAGTTTCCTGTCGACATGTCGTAGTTAATTTCCTGGCCGCAGCAGCGCTGTCATCACCCCTAGTGTGAAATGGCGTCTCAGCAGCAAAAAGCACGGTGTTATTTGCGGTTTCATGAATCAAAATCTGTGACTACAGTTCAACGTCACTTCCGAACAACATTTGGTGTTGATTCACCTGGCAAGAAGTCAATCAGACGTTGGTATGGTGACTTCTTGAATAAAGGCTGCATCTCTCAAGGTAAGAGCTCTGGCCGGCCGTCAACAAGTGAGCAACAAGTAGATCGAATCAGAGAAGCGTTCGTTCGAAGTCCACGCAAGTCAACGCGAAGAGTCAGCACTGAACTCGGAACTTTGGAACACGAAGTCGGCATACCAACGTCAGATTGACTTCTTGTCATGTGGATCAACACCAAATGTTGTTCGGAAGTGACGTTGAACTGTAGTCACAGATTTTAATTCATGAAACCGCAAATAACACCGTGCTTTTTGCTCCTGAGACGCCATTTCACACTAGGGGTGATGACAGCGCTGCTGCGGCCAGGAAATGAACTATGACATGTCAACGGGAAACTTGAAGTGATTCATTGAATGCACGATGTTATTTCATCCATGTACCTGGTCCAGTTAATTAAATAAGGACAATTGTAATCGTGCCATTCATTTTGGTACACCCTGTATTCTTAATTTATCTTAATTTATTATTTATCTTCTTTAGCGTAGCATTCAAACTTTATTCATTGCATACTGCTTCACCGCCCGTTTATGCATTCGATGAAGATCGAACGTCAAGTTCAAGTTGTACTAAATGAATGAGAATGGGCATGAAAAGCATGATGCCGCTGTTGTAAGCACAACATGCTGCTGGGGTGTATAAGATGCATTCCACAAATAGAACAGGAAAAGGAAAGAGAGGACCTGGTCGATATGACATACGTATTGTACACGATAAGAGTGTGGATTTGCTCCCCACCATCCCCACAAATGACCATAAATTAGAGAAGGAAAACGAATCAATCAACTTCCCTTGAATATCCATCAGAACAGCAGTTGCAAAAAATCCATTAATGATGAATGTCCATCGACCACCACGGAGGGCCACTCTAGGAAATCGAGAAGGCGAATAGTCGCCCACCCAAGTAATCCATAGTTAACATGAAACCAAAAATTCAAACTCTGACGTATATTCGTTGACGAGAAGAAAGTTGAGCTTCTGGAAGGTAACACTTTCGTGGTTTATACGCACTCATCTAGACGTTTCCTAAATAAAAAAGGGGAAGAAAAAGAGTCATTTTCCAACATCAATGGGAAATTTCATTTTTCTCTAAAGAAAGCAGGGAGCAACATGGTGAAATGGACCAATTTGAGTTGCTGTAAAAGTTTACCATTTGACCGATTTTGCTAGAATGCTGAACTCGCAAACCGACCTGAAAAAGAACAAAATCTTGTAAGCCAGATGAGTAACGAGGTGTTTGCATACTAGGATAAGCTGAAGTTGAATGACACAGAACCGCCAGAAAATGATTTATTGAGCTTTCCTCGCATTCGAGAACTGATCGCCGAAAGTGCCGATGAGACTGTGCGCAGAAAAAATCATATCATCTCTTCGGTAGCTCCGGACGGAAATAAATTCACGCCCCTGGGGCTTCGGGACACGTCGGCATACGTTATGCATATGTAAAATAAATATTTCGAAATTTTCTTGTAAGCTGAGGAAATTCAGTTGCCAACAAGTGTGTGGAGGAGGCATTCCGGCTTCACAGAGGAATCCAAGATCTGCACATACTGTTGCAAGAAAACATTGGAATCGCTTCGATTTCTCAATTACATTTCCTTTCTACTCGAAATAATGGCTGGAGATTCGTGTTTCTTTATCATTAGACTTGCCCTCATTTATTCCAGAGACTTTGGTGCTTCCTGATCACAGAATGCGTGCATGCATCAGTAATACCCGTACATGCAGGCCTTCTGTGATCAGGGAACCCATGGGATTTTTCGGTGTATCATTCTTACTCTCAACAAAGCTCACAAAACATTCGCATGTCACTCTCTCTTATTAAAAAGAGATCGCAAGGACCGAACGACTTAGTTCTACACTTTTTAATGCGCTTATCCTTAACCATAGGGTGTGAGCCGTCGGCATCCAAGAAACGTAGGTGATTTTTGTGAAGCAGGGCGTTCGCCGTCCACAGCAGTTTTCCAAACGGGACAATGTCACGATGTCATGCTCTTCGTTCCCCTAGTGTTTCATGAGGAAATACACACGAAATGAGCTTTCTCCTAAGGAATTTAAACTCTGTTTCTCGAAGGATTATCCTGCCTTCATGGTGGGGATGAGAGGGCTAGTAGAAACCCTCGTATAAGATATTCATGAAGGTAGCTCAGTGCGAAGAAGATGCAATACACGTTTCACGACCATATTCCGAATTATGACAGGCATTTTCTACCTTTTGGCGATTGCTCACCTCAGCTGCTGCGTCACATTAGCAATATTGTGTCCTGTGATGGACATCACTTGTCGTGCGGCTGAATCCATCATCAATGGCCATTTGGAGTTGGAGGAAATAGTAGCCATGTCTTTTCCCAGAGAAGGTTTCTTGCAAAACATCTTAAAGACTTGCAGAGCCCTGATGTTGGTTGCATTGACCCTTTGTTAGTTTTAAGGGTCGCAGGGACGAGCCATAGTTTCATTGTCAAAATCGAAGCGGCTTAGAAATCATGTGGTTCTAAGTGACAGAGGATGAGAAGCTTGTCTCTTTACTACTTGCGACTACGAGCACGTTCCAGGGCCGAACAATATCATATTGCCTATTGTTTTAAGCCTTTGACATGAAGAGTCAAAAGGGACACGGTTAAATGTTCTTGAAACATTCAAGGAAAGACGATTATTTCACATTTGGAATTCTATGAACTCATTCACCGCCATTCGTTCATGGAGTGTACTGTTCACGTGAGTTTCTTACGCATTGGAACACCAGTTTCAGAGGTTCTAGGCATTGGAGAAGTGATAGAATATCGAGGAAGAAGAAGACAGGGGAGATAGATGAACTCTGGCAGGAGGTACCAGGAGAAACCTCCAATTGATGCTCCACCTCAATAAGGCAAAGAACGTCGCAAACCAAGATTTGAGTTGCACTCAATTTTCACGCATCTAGTTTTCATGCAAAACTGCGACTTTGGTAAATTCTTATACTCCAAATCCTGTCTCAGAATTCTAAGCTATGATCGTTTCCAGTCGAAGCGACACACACCTTCGTGCTTAACGCTTAGTTTCTTTTAGCTAGACAGAGAGCGACAATTGGAACACTTTTGATGATCGGTTATTTATGGCACCCAATATCCATAGCGATGTCTCCATAAATGGTTACTTCCTAGTGGCTTTTTTCATATATTATTCCCAAAAGCCCAGGAGAATTTAAGTTT